GCGTGGGGCATAGGCGAGTATAAAAGCGTTGGGTCTGACGAAACTCACTGCGACGTCAGGGAGGTGAGCACAGCAAGAGCCTGGAAGCAATGAGGAAATCCACTGGGAAAGCAGTATTGCTGGGCACCTCTTACTGGAACAAGTAAACACAGAGATTAGTTAGAAGAAAAAAAAATGCCACAACGTTCAGAAGGTACAGAACAGATTGGCAATGGGGAGACGCCAGCACCCAGGTTAAGTAGCATTCGGCTGATGAACTGATTGAGAGCAGCTGTGCACGCTGCACCTGGCACCCTCTGCTGCTCACCCTCTCTGCCTGTGTGAGGGAGTGAGGGAGCGTTGGCACAGGACCTAACAGAAAGTAGCAGCATGTCTTATGTGTCTAGCTGAAGTTTACATATCAAAGGTGTTATGATTATGAGTAATTTAATTGAAAATCGCCATTTGTTAGCCTTAGATTTGCACAGTAGTTAGATTAGACTGTTGCATTGCTTCAATTATAAAATGTGATATTGTTTTATTATTTATAACAACTATGTTGCAAGTACTTAACTTTCTTTTGTATTCCTAAATAAATGAGAGAGCTCCATTATAGTGAATATACCCAAACAAGTGTAGACTCCGTAAACAAACATAGTTAATGCAGTAATAAACACATTTCATCAAGTACCTGCTCATGCAGTATGTGCTGTGTTCATGATTCCAAGGTCAACCACAACCAACAACATTCAAGGTTCAGCTTTGGCATTACACATTACATTGACGTTGTGCTCCACCATGCTGCAAAAACACACATTTGTCAATTACACTAAATATTTGTCATTGTAGAGGACTGTTTAAAAATGTGTGTGTGTAGCTCCTTGTAAAATGTTGTGGGAGAACATTTCCCAGGGGCCAGTGCAGGTCCAGTTCTCACCCACACACTTCTCTATCTTCTGTCAAAAATTATTCAAAGTCTAAACAGTCTGTGGCAAAGTATAAGATTTACTAAGGAAAAAATTAAAAACACCCCAGTAGCATTGGTTTCCAGTCCATGGAGTGGAACAACATCAGAGCTTGAGACATCTTTTTTACACTCTTTTAAGCTCCTCCTTGCATTGTGGCTTGTTTCATCCCACCTTTCTCTCTGACCTACCTAGGGATAGACTATTTCATTGGTCAAAGTGACCTCACATAGCAAATGCAAGTCATGTTGAGTCCTTCAGGTTCAATGCAAGGTTAAATGATTGCCATCCCTTGTTTCATAACACTTAAAAAAAAAAGAAAAATCCCCCTTTATATAACTTCACAACTATGGGCTGTGCCAGTGAACCCTCTCACCTTTCCTGTTGTCAAGGCCATCACCCTTGCTCAGGCTGGGCAGCCATCCAAACAACACACTGATAAGCCTTTTTCTCTCTCTTGCCTGCTTTAAGGCTGTCTATTGATAATAATGTCAATGATTTACATCAATGATCACGTTATACTTTACCCTGAGATTATGAAAAATAGTTGAGTTTGAACAGAAGAATGGAT